TTGAATTTGGAAAAAACATCAGTACTAAAAAGAGACGAGACAATAGTGTCATTGATTTGTAGTGATGATGCACGCAATGTTGACTAAGGTTCAAGCAACATAAACGAGATATGTCATGAGATTCAAGAGACACATGCGATGATATATCGATTCGCGTTACAAAAGCTTTTGCTTCAACCGGAACATTTTCCCGGTTAATGAGCGAACTGAATTTAAGCTTTTTTGGGAAAGCAAAAGTCGTATTCTCCCGAACCCACTTTCGCATAGCACCGCAACCGTCTATTAAGCCCGCCCCTCGACTACCCTCGTCGTCCAGACCCTAGTTGCCGCCCGGTCGGAGGGTCGGACGGAGGCAGGGACCGTTTCTCAGATGGAACGAAAATCAAAGGACTAGAATCACTATACAAGTGTATAAGTTCGATTACCCAATACAAATGTCGACAAAAAAATATTACCCAGTAAAGATTATTCCTAGCAGAGTCGATGATAATAATAAAACTTTCGAATAAAAAAAAAATCAGGTTAGCAAAATATCCAACGTATCCCCCACTTATCCGATTAGGTGTAAAGACTTGGCACTTTTAAGCTTTTGTTTTTTTTTTGGTAGACTTTTAAGCTTTTTTAGGTCTAATGAACAATCTTTCTAGGTGTTACTTGCCTTTTAAGCAGTTCGGCTTAATCCGGTTTAAGCTTTCTTAGCAAAGGACATCAAGCAGCAGCCCTTTTTTTGGTACCTTTATAATTCTTTAACTTTATGTCGATTTTTTTTTTCTCTTTTTTGTGCAGAAAGGCCTGCAAAAATAGAATATTACTAGAGCACGTCATTCGGAAAGCAGCAATTATATCCAATCTTTTTTTTTCCCTTTTTTTGTTTTTATTTCTTTGCTTCTTTTTGGTAATAACGTGTTAGTTAAAGTTCCATGTTCACGGTTTTTGTCCAGCGGTTTGAAAGGGATGATTCGTGATCGTGATCAACCTAAAACGGATCCAAGTCAATGAATGATACGAGCAGGTCCGATACTGTTCGGACCCAGTTGAAAGTCGAAGCAAGACATAGTTCGTTTCAAAACATCGAGCAATCGGCGTACGGTGCGAAACATGATTTATATCATAATAATTAATAGGGTTTATACCACGAGAAACTCTAAATTGGTATACCTATGACGCATTTACTCCAAATTAATTTTTTGGTCACCAAAAACCCAAAATCGGTACACCTGCAACAAATTTATCCTAAACTAATTTTTGATCACCAAAAATATAAAACTAGTATATTTGTGACAAATTAACCCTCCTTCAGTTTCCGTTAAATTGAATTTATACCACGAAAAATCACAAATCGTTACACCTGTGACAAACGAATGGTAAAACCCCAACTGATACAGCCGTTAACTACCACGTGTCGTCAAAGTCAATAATTTGAGAGTAAAATTTAATGGAAACTAATTGTGGGTAAATTTGTTACGGATATATTGGTTTGGGGTTCTTGGTGGTATTAACCCTAATTAATAATAGTATATGGGAATCCGCTTTAAGATACTTTAGTCCTGATGAATAGTTGGCTTTTGTTAAGCTTCAAGAAAACCTAATCTGAAGAATTTATTAGCGTGAAAGCCCGAGAAGTCGACAGATTTTAGGTGGGCACGAATGGTGTGGGTGGGCAACAATATTCTTTTAAGCTTGGCAAAAGATTTAAAGAATAGAAGTACCTATCTTCTTTTGACGGGTCGAGCAACTTTGGTTTTAGAAATTGGAGAAGGAACCGCAAAGCTTTTTCGCATCCTCGAAGGTGGAAGCATATGATTCTTTCGGAGCCTGTTTAAGGTTAAAAAAATAGGTGATTCCATATAATAAACTACAGAGTCGAGTTGAGTTCGTCCTATACTCTTTTGGGCCAAAATTTTCCAAGGAAGTACATGAAGGACGTAGCATACTAGCAATATGAGGAGGTTGATAGAAAGAGAGAGGTTGTAGTTTTACAAGAAGTTCGAAAATCAAAATCACATAACTGAAACCTAGAAATCGGCACAAGTGTGTACCTTGTTCGTCGGGAATATATCTTGATTGTAAAGCAATCCGCTGTATATACATTTTTAGCCTGTTTCTTGACGGTTTAAGTTATCGGGAAAAATAATTTTATCTGACATGGTATTAGAGCACGGTCGAGCAGTCGAATCTTGACACTTCTTCTCGTAATTCTCCTTGGCGTTATTCATATTATTCTGCCTGTTTTTTTTTTCTAATTTTTTAGATTACCTCACTGATGTTATTAGATTCACGTCTTGTATTGCGCTTGATAGAACCGGTTACATGCGAGGGGAGGTTTAAGAATGTTGTAAACATATATTGTTGTTCGCGTCCTAATAGCACCTTTTGGAAAAAAAAAAAAAAAGAGCGATTTATCTAACCATATGAATTGAAACTATTCCTCATTTAACAAGTTATCTTAAGTGATGGCTGACATTGCCGTTTATGTTACAAATGGTGGCGGCAGCGGCAGCCTAGCTAGAGCCTTGTGTCCCACTAACTCCCGTCCCTAATTCGCTTGGTCGAACCTCCCTTGTGTCTTGATGGTGAATGGGTGGTGGCCCGATAGTGTCCCGGTGGTGTCACGGTGACCATCTCGCCAACCTTGGACTCATGTATCACGGGTGGTGTTCGATACTTATGGTTTGAATTGAACATTGGGTGGCGGATGTTGGATCCTTAGGGCGACGCCTAACTAGTAACTAGTCGTCCATCCCCACCCTTTTTCTTCATGAAAACCTTTGCCTTCACCAACAAAAACAAAAGTTGGCAAAACCAATTAACACTTTCGAGAGTGTGCCATACTAATTAGGTGAGGAAAGCCCAATAAGCATATAGAGCAGTATCGAGGGCTGCTCTGCCCATCATCATAACTTGTTGGGCCATAAATGAGAGGGAAACATTCTGATTTAGGCTGAGAAAAAGAGGAATTCCATGCCCAATTCACTCCCCCGACACATATTCTCATCTTCACTTTAACCTAACTTCTTAATTTCATTTGAGAAGTGATTGACATTAACATATACTTTTTATATATCATTTGAACTTATGCGTATGTAAGGAAATGAATTTTGAGCATTAATTACACCAATTGATTATAAGGTCCTTGCTTGCAAAACAAAAATAAACACCATATAATCAGGTAGTGATTTAATCTAACTTGTATATAGGTTTTGCAATCAATTTATGCCATTAAATTAAGTGTGGTCCTTGACATCCTTGTATAGACATTTCACCTAATTCCATGGACATTCACATTCACATCCTTCATGTTTTTGATTCTTTTGATTATATCTCCCCTTTGACTTTTTATTTTGCACGAGAAAAGTTCAAATATTGTTTAAAACCTTCGTTCTTCTTCATTTCGTTAGAGATTAATTTGATTTTAGAGAATGTTCAATCCAATATTTCTTTCTTTACGTTTTTTGGTTCGCATGTATTCGTCGGTAGTTTGGTCGGATGTCATATTTGCCGACGTCGCTTTTTTTTATCTTTATAACTCGTGTATTTTCTCTGATAGAAACCCTAGTGGTCTTTTTATCTTAAGTTCGGAGTACATGGCTGGGCCAAAGTACGATTGAACTAAAGTTCGCAAGACTGTAGCATAATAATTTTTCCAAGAAGATGCATCTCATTTTATTTTCAAAACTAGGAAAAATAATTTTCATCTCGAAGATGAAGCTAAGGATTTGGCGATTCGGATTATATCGACAACCCTCCAAATACGAGAAGACCTAGAGGGTTCTTTTGTCGCCACAAAGCCTTTTGACATTGAAAAGGAAAGTTTTATGGGCATCGATATTATGATGGCACACCAACTTACCTTATTTTGGGTCTACAATAAGATGATTCGAGACTCTTTGAATACGAAACTATATTTCAATCGAGCGTTATCGATCCTTTTGTCTTAATGGACCTCGGGGAACAATGGAACAAGGATGAACTCGAGAGGTAGAATGGCACGGCGGTTCAAGTCCAAGGTCTTCATCACGACAAAGCGATATCAAAAGGAAACTCGTTCGGGGGTGCTTCGTGACGTTGTTCTTATAAGGATATTTTTCGGTTTGTTAGGGTGACCATAAGACTATGCCATTTCCTCGATCCGATCAAAATCAGACCCATCCACTTCATGAATTTTTACGAGATTCGCGAGGAATTACTTCGTTCCAGCAATTGGATATAGACGATTTATGTTTTTTTATATTTTTATTTTTTCGGGTCGAACACGGGTCGTTTGTCAACTGTCAAGTGCAAGGTCCACTGGACCGTCTCTATTCACTTCCTAGATATTGTTGGGCTCACAAGATTTCTTGGTCCATCCAAATCCGGTCCAACCCGGCCCATATCCGACCCGAAGGCCCCGGCCCAGGAAGGAATCCCCCGGTGGGCCGCTTTTTATTTTTTCATTTTTTTAAATTTTTTGAAATTTATGAAAAAGGGGTGGTTGTCCTTTTGGGTAGGTTTGATTTGAACCACGCTTTTTTTAAAACATTTGCCTTGACTTCGAGAAAATGGAATAAAAACCACTGTTGACCGGGGGCGAGTTTGACCCTGGTTAATTAATCAGACCCAACCATGGTTAAGCGGCCACGCCCAATGGGAGACCATTGCCGTTCTTGAGAACATAAAGAGATAGAGAGAGAGAGAGAGAGAGAGAGAGACAGAGAATCACATTCAAAAAAAAGAAAAGAAAAGAAAACCTTAAAAAAAACAAACAAACAAATAAATAAATAATTAATTAATAAAAGAGATATTTTTTATTTTTATATTAAATGAAGCACCCACACTTGTCCACCCTCCATCCCTCGGCGGGCAGCCCGAAGGGGGGGGGAAAGATCTTTTTTTTTCCGCTCCGCGGGGGTGGGGGGGACCTGCCCGGGCTGCCCGAACCCTCCCGCCCACTGCAACTACGGGCAGTCAGTCACCAGCCAGTCACCAGTAACTCTCTCTCTCTCTCTCTCTCTCTCTCTGCCTCCCCCCCTCTCTCTCTCTCTCTCTTTCTCTCTCCGCTTCGATATTCCTATATCTTGCGGTCTCCTCTGCCGCTACGATCAAACCCATCTAACGGTCGACAATGCACGCAGCTCCCCCCGCCGCCGCCGCCGCGCTCTAGGGCCGGGAGCCTCCGGATCTGGTCTCTCCGCCCTCGGATCTCGCCTCCGCGGTACGCTTCTCCCCCCCTCCCTGCCCCCTCTCTCTCCGTTTTGATCGCCGTCGTCTTCGAGCTCCCGTTCTCCTTTCCTCCGCCTGTCTCGCGCGCGTCGTGTGGGTTTTGTAGGGCTCTTTCGCCCCCCCTCGGTGCTCCGAGGTTTGTGAAATCGAGTCTTTCCGGCGGATTCGGCGGCGGAGCTGGTCTCCGGCGAGCGCTCAGGCCGTCGCTTTCGCTTCAGCGTAAAGGCGCTCTTTGTCGTGTTACCATCGGGACGTTCTGTTCTCCACATATTCCTGATTTTTTTCTTGCTATTTCTCGACTTTATGTGGCGCATATTAGAAAAATCCGTGCGCGTCTCTCTCTCTCTCTTAATTATCGGGTAAATAAATGGCGGAAAAGATGCTTTTTTTTTTGCGTCTTTTTTTTTGTCTGTTAATTGGGGATCCGAAGGCTGACAGAGTTTCAGGGGAGCCAGATCTAACGGTTGTCGATTTGCTGTTCGGCCTTCTTTTTTTTTTTGTTTGTAAGGTTGGGTGGTGTTTCCAATAATTGTCGAAGAGCGGGGAAAAAAGAGGGGAGGCGCACGAATGGGGACCGAGGTCGGGGCTGCTGCTGCTGCTGCTTCGCTTGTTGTGGGGCTCGGGGCGACCCTCGCCCGCATCGCGCTAACGTGCGCCGGGGAGGCGCTCGTTAGCCTCGTCGTGGTCAACCTGGTCAAGGGCCAGCTTTTCGGGGCTCCTCAGGTACGCCAAAAATTTCATTTTTTCCTTCGCTCATGTAATTATTATTCTCTTTTCTTTCTGTGCCTTTTTATTTTTTTGGCTTCTAGTTTTCCCAAATTTTGCACCTGAAGATTTTTTTTTGTTTTTCAATTTTTTTTTCCATTTTCAATTTTTCTTTCTTCTTTTTTTTTTATAAGTATATTATGGCCTAGATTTGCAGCAACTTTTCTATTTAAATATACGTCCTCGGGTAAACCATCGCTTTCCTTTTTTTTTTTTATCTCGCAGCTTATGTTGACGCATATTAAATATAACCAAGCGAAGCCCTTTTTCTTTCTCGTGGCGCTGCTAACCTGCGCCGGTTCCTTCTCTCTTTTTTAATTTTTTTTATTGGTTTTTTTAAATGTCAGCATATCTTACGTATTTACCCTATTTCGTCGAAAGATAAAGAGGGGGATATATCCCAATATGCTTGTTTTTCACCTTTTATACCCTACCTTTTATTTTTTACTTTTTATTATTCGTTAATTTCGACCTATTAGAGAGCGCCGTCCGTAGCGGGGGGCGGGGCGGCTAACGTGCGCCCGGGGGCGGGGGGGGGGTGTTAAACCGAGGGGGCGGACTCGTGACGGGAATATAAGTTCCAGTTTTGGGACGAGGCCTTGGGTTCCGGAAGGTTGTACGTGGGGCCCGCGTGGCGTTTCTCCAAGAAGATAACCTTATCAAAGAATATTATTATTATTTTATTAAAAAATTCAGGATTTTTTTATTAAAATATTATCTTGCTTTTTAAAAGTAATTTTGAGGAAAAGGGGGGATATTTTTGGATTTTTATTAGTACTCTCGTTAACATGCAAAAACTGGTTTTTTTATCTTTTTCTTTTTGTTTAGTATTGGCTACGGGCGATACGGAGGGAAATAAAACGTGAAGGAAAAGACCTTTTTGTGTCGTGAGGGTGATTGGGGAAAAGTCAGAGGTCAAGCTCAAATAATGGCCTACTTGCTCCCGGTTGCATCATCTTTTTAATTGATCGACATATAAAAATATTAATAGTGTTGAACAAGGTTGTCTCGGAATATTCCGCAGGACATATGCTTCTTCATCTGTGGGAGCCGCCCTCTCTGTGTCTCTCTCTCCTCTGCTTATCTGGAAACCTTAAAGATCTTTTTTTTTTTTTTGGCCACAGATGCTAAAGATCACCCATATGGTAAATGACATCCATTAGGGTAGTTCCTCTGTATGACTAGGGTGTAGCTGAGAAATGAAAAGAAAGAGACAATTTTTGTGTGATCTTTCCTGGGAAATGGGGGAGCCAAGTGGGGTTTTTTCTCACTTTTGAAATCGATTCTTGTCAAGTAAGTAAAAGGGGAAAATTCCAAACAGGGAAAAGGAAGGCCATTAAGTGACTTTTCGAGGTTGGTGCTCCCTTTGGAAGATGATTCCTTGCTCACTTTGTGGCTAGAAGCACCGTGTCTGTGGTTAAGGCATATTCCCCACACCTCAGTGGTCTTTGGTTCTGAGCATCCCTTTTTGGTTAGACCTTATTTGCTTGTACTGTAGAGTCACACGCTTACACAAATGTTTGTTTACGGTCATCTGACATACTCTAGATGGACTTCGCTCCTGTGTATGTTTGATGTTGTGTAGAGGTTGTCTAGGTTTCGTTGCAGCATAAATGATATTCTTCGCTTTCCTACTAGAAGTAAAAAACAAAAGAGTCGGTAAAGACCTCGGTGGAATGTGGTTGAGCTCGAGCAGCCTGAACAATTTGGCCCTAGAAATATTTTACAATTGCATTTGGTCATTTTCTTAACATGGTTAATAATCTGACTGCTTTGGGATAACTCATCTCTTTCTGTCACGTCTTTGGTTGCTACAGATTGAAAAACAGAAGGAGAACGGAGTTAATGATGACCAAAGCCACACCCAAGCCAAGCCAGTCGATGCCGGGGAAGATGATGATGACAATGGCGGCGACGATGATGACGATGGGGATGGCGGGTTTGGGGAAGGTGAAGAGGAAGTTTCGTCTGAAGGCGGAGAGGAGTACAGTAAAACCCCTAACAGCAATAATGGTAGCTCGAAGAAGGGAGCGGGAAGCGGGACCGGTGGGGGTGAAGAGAATGGGGAAGAGGAGGATGATGAAGATGGCGAAAACCCAGAAGGAGATGATGACGACGACGACGACGACGATGATGAAGATGAGGATGGCCGAGAGGACGAAGAGGAGGAAGAAGTTGTCGAGGAAGAAGAGAACGAAGAAGAAGACGAAGACGAAGATGAAGATGAGGAGGCCCTCCAGCCACCAAAGAAGAGGAAGAAGTGAGTATTCGTGAGAAGAGGGAATCAGAGGTTGAGAAGAGGGAATCTGAGCCGCCTCCTAGTCCTAGACACTCATTCCTAAGTGAAATCTTCACTGACTTTCATAGTCTTCTTTAGTTCATGAGGGAAGACATAATTAGGATGTAATGCTTCTGTAATCGAATTATCAGTTCGCTGTTGCTACTAGAGTTGCTAAAACGAATGGTTGAGCCACGGGCATTGGTTTATGCTCATGCCCTGAGTTTGAGCTCCTTTGTTACCTTTCAGGGAATTTTTAATGATCTATTGAGTCAAATTCGTCCATGAGAATTCGTGTTTTTCTCTCTCCAGCTCGACTCATCATAGGCTTTTACGACGATGCGGCCTGTTGAACACCAACGGCCTGCCTGAATCCTCTATTCTGTCATAGTTCTATTGAGGTGTCATGTGGCTGCGATGTCCAAGGGAAGTATTTGCCACTCTTCCATGGAAACGTGCGCCGAACCTGTGAGAAGATTCATAATATGGACTGCCATTCTCAATGAGTTCAGTGGCAATGTTTAGTTAGTTTAACGAGTTTCGCAGATGCTTGAGCAAGGTACAGCTGAGGTGAAGATGATACTAACTGCTCTCATTCTGGGGCGCCCGATGCAGGCACGTTCACATTAACCTTTTCTATATGGATTTGGTCACAGCTCGTCATTTTGATCAAAACGGTAAAGTCCTTCAACAATTCTGTGCGCAAATACACAATCTCTGGCCAACACATGAAGATAGTGACGATAACACCATGTAATTTAACTTAAAGGGAATTACAACTAATGTACACGACTTCTCACCCAATGATCGCTTACATATCTCTCAACAAATCCCAACATTGCAAAGAACAAATCGTCTCTCTTTGCATTTTCATTTTAGCTTCTTGTTTAGCAATTAAGCAATTTGGTTTTTCAGTTGGTTTTAAGTGTTTTGAATGGGTGTTTTAGGATTTGTGGATGGACATTCTCAGAAAGACACCTGATTTGAATGTGTGAAGTGGTCTCTATAGTAAAATTCTTGTTGCTTTCAAAAGTAAATGTATGTAAGTGGGTAAAAGATGAGGCCAGTTTTGGTATTTTTCCAACCAATTTACAAAAGCCTCAAATTAGAAAATATTGGAGTTAAAAATGCAAGTTGTGGATGTTTTTATTCACCTGCTAGTGAATTTTCTTAGGAAAAAGTACCAAAAAAGTCATAAACCTATTACATTGGCGCTAATTTAGTCATAAACCTCTTTTTGGTATCAATTTAGTACTAAACCTTTTGATGTAGTGCCAATTCAATCCTTCTAGTTAATTTGGCCGGATATTGCTAATGAGGATGTCAGCTGGCCTATGTGACATCGTTGGCGCTGGTGTGGAAGATTTTTAATAATATTTTAATATTTTCGATTTTTTTTTATTAATTTTCTTTTCCTTTCTTTTCTTTTTATCTTTCTTCCTCCTTTTGTCGGTGATCAACCACTAGCCATAGGCGATGGTCGGGTGGGCTGGCCTTGCCTAGGCAAGGGTCGACCTCGCCCAGGCCAAATTTGGCGAGGTGGACCAGCGTTGCGCCTCGCCTAAGTGAGGGGAACCCATGGCCAAGGCTCGCCCTCGCCTGGGCGAGGGTCGCCGTCGACTGGCCATCTCCTGTGGCTGATCATCGGCAAAAGGAGGAAGAAAGAAAAAAAGAAAAGATCATAAAAAATCTAAAAATATTATTAAAAATTATAACGTCAGTGTCGGCGGTGTCACGTAGGCCGATTGACATCCACGTCAGCAATATTTGGCCAAAATTAGCTGTAAGAACTGAGTTGGCACTATGTCAAAAGGTTTAGGACTAAATTGACATGATTGCAATATGTTTAGGATTTTTTCGATACTTTTCTCCATTTGTACCAATTTAGTGCTAAACCTTTCAATTTGATCAATTTTGTTCTAAACCTTTTTATATTGGTACCAATTCAGCCCATTCGTCCAATTTAGGTCGGAAATTGCTAACATTGACATTGGCTGTCCTACATGGCATGGCTGACGCTGACGTTGACAAATTTTAAATATTTTTTGGAATTTTTTTCTTTTCTTTTCTTTTCTTTTTTTACACTTTGGGTCGACGAGGTGGCCGGCTGACCATCGCCGGCCATAGGCGAGGGTTGCAATGCCCTCGCTCGCCATGTGCAAGGGCCTCCGCCCCTCACCGGCCATGGGCGAGGGCCTTAGCTGGACCTCACTTGTAGCATTGGACGCGTGCTTCCAAAGTATTATGCATATTACATGGGAAAAATATAAATTAAAAAATGAAGAAAAAATACTATAATAATAGAGTTAATATATCGATCCTCTCGCTAGCAAGAGTTCTCTTCTATTTTAGGTTTAATTTGAGATAAATTTGTCCGACTGGCCATGCAAATAAACATTGATTTTCTCCGTGGAATTTCTTTGCCTTCAACGTATGAGATAGTTGCAAATGCAATACAAATTAGTTCAATTTCTTTGGAATTATATCTTCATATGTCTTCTCTTGTTTTTCTTTCTCTATTCTTTGCAATTTTTTTCTTTAGTAAATTAGAATTTAAAACGATTTCTCGTTATCCCTCATTGGTTACGATTCAAAAACATCGTGTCGGCATGTATTGATGATAAAAGAATTTGACGGCATGAATAGTATGAATTAAAGGACCCAATTGCACCAATATAAAAAAATCCGACGGCTCAATTCTATGCGCCAAAAATCCTTCATTCTCTTTTTCGCTTTAGTAGTTCGAGCACACGAGAATTTGGTCCAGCTTGGGGACCAATCCATTGGGTCAGGACTGGACTCCATCTTTGTCTCTTGGTTTTATTTTATTTTATTTTTGGGTTTATGTTCCTTCCTCACTTTTTCTTTTTCTCTGCTAAATTTTCCACCATATTAAAATGTTTTGGTATGTTTTTTCGTCGAGTCCAATCCACCGCTACGTGCCTTTCATAGTACTTGGGCTTCAGAGGAGGCATTCATATCATACCACATCCTTTTTCATACATGCAACACTGAAAAAGCAGCCAAAAGAGAGAAAACACATGATTTGCCTCTGAAGAAACCGATGATTCTTTGTCTCCAACCCTGCATTTATTCGCATGAACGAAACCCCATCATCTCTCATACCTTCACACGTCAGTTTAAGGGACAAAACAAAGCAAGTCTCACACTCTCAGAGAGAGAGAGAGAGAGAGAGAGAGTTCTTGTAGATGATCATGGGAAAGAAGCTGGGGCTAGTGCATTGGCTATTGTTGATGCAATTGCAATATCATTGCTTGTATGGAGGTACGTTTACTCTCTCTCTCTCTCTGTCTCAGAAAATGCAAGAAAAGATGCAAGATTCTTGTTGTGTAATCCTCTATAATGTCCATGATCAGTTGCTTCTGCCTTGCCTTTTCCTCTAATGCTCATGTTGGGAAGCACCTGTCGTTTCTAAACAGTAATTTCATTATCCCTCTGAGATCATTGTCAGCCTTGGCCTGCCAAATAATACTAACGGGTATCTCTGCAATACTGTGTCAAAGAAAAAGAGACATCTTGATGTGAAATGATGTTGCGGCTGTAATCAGCATCACCGGATCAAGGTATACTTGCACTGAACAAGCCCGCAGGGTTTAAGAATCGAGCCCAAAATCACTCATTTAAGATCCTCGGTCTGGATTACTATAGTCAAATTACCACGTACACATGAGCGTGACTATATTCTCACTTTAGATTCTGTGGGTTGGAATAGGTTTGATTTGATTTTGTTGCTTTGGCATTGAATATCTCACTTTATTTAAATTACAGACATTTTGGAAACTTTAGTTTGTAAAATAGTTTTGATTAGACTGGGAAAGCAAAAGGAATGGGGGCATATCCCAAATAATTAGATTAAAAAATGTGGCGAAGGCAGCAGAATAGGACTCAATCTATGTCATTCAAGAGTTTAGTTGGTTCTCAACCACGGCAAGGCAAGACCTAAGACTTGGAGGATAACCCATTTTTTTCCATTCAAAAGGTGAGTGATTGATGGTTAAAAGCTTCAAAGAGCATCATTGACCAGTGAGGTGTGGAGGAGAGTCGGACAATGATGACTGGGATTTCTCAACCATACATCCAAGATTCAATTGTTAGGTAAGAAGAAAAGTAGGAATTTCCAGATTTAGAGATTACATCAAATGTGAGCTCCTAATGGTCATATAACTCTCTGAAATCTTGACAACAATTTTGTCCTAAGTAGGTTTGTTGCAGCAGAATACTTTTAACTATGTTACGAATTAAGGACCATGAATGATCATGGACTATTATCTTATAGTTCGTCAATGGAAACCCAACTTCGACCTAGAAAGTGCTACCGTGGAGCGAGTATGCGTACGGATAAGGTATCCTAGATTCTTTATAGAAGACTATGACGAAGACTTTCTCCTGAAGCTTGGAAGTAAAATAAGTAAAGTATGAGGGTAGATGTTGAAATGTGTCGGCATCTAGAGGTTTATATGCTCGAATGTGTGGATCTCACACAACCTTATACTGAGGTCTCGTCTGAGATTGAAGATACATAAAAGAGAATACGAAGGGATTCATTTGATATGCTTTCATTGCGACCATTACGAGCATAGATTAGAGGAGTGTCTTGAGTTGCGACCATTAGAGAATAATCCTCATAATCTTTTGGGAAGTAAGGGGCCATGGAGGACCGATGGCAATAGTGCCAGAGGTGCATGCCAAATACCGGTTTTCGAAGGCAGGCGTACTTCAATTAGACACCGGCTCAAACATTGTGGCAACACGTCTAAGGTTTCTTTGTGGATTACGCTAGGTTATCGGGTACAATTGGAATACATATGTAGCTGGCTTGATTGCGCAAAAGGAGATGTCTACTCAAGATTTTCGTCCATAATGTGATCACAAATGAGATAGGTTCCCGACATGGATCGGGCCATATGCGTGAAGGCAACATCTATCTATGCCCCAATATAAACTTGGGACCCACTTTGTCAATTTGGTCTAATATCACTAGGAATGAAATCAATGCACTTATTTAGTTGTCCAATAGTAGTAAGTTCAGCTATCACTCCACTTTTTTGTTGGCTCCTCGAATTTTTGCGTAATGAGTACTCACCCCAGATGAAGCGACTCGTCCTCCTTTGTTAGGTAGGGACAAGGGATTCCCCAGCCCTTTACTATACATCTCACATCGCATTGACTACCCCGAGTTAGGGATGAAGGGAGGATTCTAAGCTTTCCGTCGAGCTTCATTAGATCTACCTTTTCCTACAATAAATGATATTCGGTTCTTTAGTAAAGTCTAATCTTCATTTCCATAGGACGATGCAGCCTTTATGAGCAGCAATCCTGGATTTGTTTCTTACTAATGAAGAATCTATTGGTAGCGCCACTAATTTAATCCTGGCTCAGACTAAGGCAAGATTTGAATTAAGCAAGAAGGAAACGGAAAGTCTCACATTGGTCTTGTCTGTCTCTATGCAAGCTCTAGTCCACGTCCCATTGTCTTCTTTTGTCATGCTACCCTTTTTGAGTCTTTGAGTTGAGCTGATTGGAGCTTGGGATTCCATCAAGCACAAGTAGGCATGCCTGAGCTAACACAACGCAAAAGCAAATTCAGTTTCCACCCTTTTGTCATACTTAAGCCCGCTTGCCTTAATCATGTTGTCCTCTCTCGATTGTGCAAATTTTTTAGGTGTAGACTTTTGGCTTATCCTTTCTTCTCATAAGTCACTTTAGAAAGCTATTGTCTCACCAGCTAAGGGATTCCTTTCTTCCTTGTAGATCGTAATGGGGATATTGGAAAAAATAATTTCTCAAGTCCTCTGTTATTCTTGATGAAAAACTAGATGCAAATCCCTTGTATAGTTAGCACCTATAAGCAATCAATGATTTTTCAAAAAAGTGTCTATTCTTAGAAAATGTCTTTCTCCATAATTTCCATATCGCCTTCCTCATTGACGAACGACATCGAAGAAATAAACTGGTGATCCTTCCGAAACTATACACACAATCCCTAAATGTAGGGTATAGAAAAATTATGTGATCCACCATTTCCATTAATAAGAAAGAAGTCATTTTACGCACCTTAATATATGTCGCTTGTTCTATAATATTGTAGCTACAGGCTTCTCTCTAGTCTTTTCGTACACTAGTTTGAGTCCTTACGAGTGAATTTCCTTGTGTCTCCACCCATATGATTGACAGTGGAGGTACTATAAAACTGAGACCAAAGAGATGTGACAAGAAATGCTTAGGATTTTAGGTCTTTGATAACTCATATCTCTTTTTCATAGACATTTTTGTGAACTACGTACAGATGGACCAAGTAAAAAAGGGGAAATCTGCCGGTGTAAGCATGAGGTGGAGCCGAAACCCTGGCATCTCAATTTAGAAGCTACTTAGAATAAGAGTTGGTACGAGGGAGAAGAGAATGCATTTTCGGAATCTTAATATTGTCGCATCAAAAGACGAGAACTAAGATCTTTAGTATATAGTACCTGCATAAATGAAAAGAATGGGAGCTTATTATTAATGGAGTTGGGTATATCGAAAGAAAAATCTTGGGGTGGAAGATAAGCATAAAGAGATTAGGACAGACACTTTGTTTCCAAATTGCATCTGATTTGGTGCTTATTGGAAAGCGCTTTTGGGTCTATGAATCGCATGATTGTGTTCATGAGCTTTGTCAAAAAGCTAAGTGCGGAGCGTACAGGTTTCAAGTGACTATGGACAAAACTTTATCAACAAGCCAAGTGGTGGTTGGGGTTTGTTGATTATGTGAACTGTCAACTGTCATGTGATCCCCTAATGGGGTTTGAATACAATAGACCCAATCGATGGGCGGGCCGGAGTCTATAGAAAAGCATGGGCTTGATGGTCGGGCCGAGCGTCGTGCATGAAAGAAAGAAAGAACCTTGAAAATCTCATTTGCAAGATTTGTTGGGCCTGACGGGCCAATCCAAGCCCGTAAAGTACATCGCTTGCCAAGGCCCGCCCATCTTATCATGGTTTCAGTACCAGCGAAATGCACCCGAAACATCGTCGGGTCGGGTCGGGTCAGCGTGGGCCGGTCGGAGAATGATTTGGGCATGAGTTTCGAAAATCAACTTGCAGTGATCTCAGACTCTTGCTGAAGGACTTTTTGTGTATCATCAGAACTTAATTTTCTATTCTGATGCCAATTCACTGAGATTTGTGCACTGTCATTACCCGCAATAGTAACAATTTGTCGAATCTTTCGTTAACACGTATTTTTCTTTTTCCAGCATTAACAGCGGCGGCCTCGGTGCAAGAGAAGGCGGAGACGGCGATCCCAATCACGACGATGTCCCCTCCGGCGGAGGGCAACACGACTTTCCTCGGCGGCACGACGTGGTGCGTGGCCCTTTCGGGTGTCCCCCAGGCCGACCTCCAGAACGCGCTGGACTGGGCCTGCGGGCTCGGGATGGCCGACTGCAAGCCGATCCAAGAGGGCGGGGCGTGCTTCGATCCCGACACGCTTGTGTCCCACGCCTCATATGCCTTCAACAACTACTACCAGCAGAACGGCAATTCGGAGATCGCGTGCAACTTCGGCGGGACCGCCGCGCTCACTAAAGCCGATCCAAGTACGTACGAACTAAGTTTTACGTATAAATTAAGTTCACCTCCTCGAATCTTGACAACATGTTTCCCTTTCGCGATTCGGATCACACGGGCTGCTAAACGGTACATTCCAGTGATAAATTTTACACGAAAAGTACTAAAACAACGCACAACCTGTCGGAATCTGATCTTTGATATGCAAAACCCGAGCTACTGTGTCGAGTCATTACATTGGAAGTACTAAAACGTGAACTTTCTGCTGTTTCGCAGGTTACGGAAAATGTGTCTACTCCGCGCCGGGGTAAGTATGCTTACAGTTAAAATCGCTCGCTTCCTCGTGCTCCGCTCGATTAGCTCAGTGCTGGTTGACATTGCATTTCTTGTTCTTTACAGCTTGGCCTCGCCTGCGCCGCCACGACCCGAGCACGACCCGAGCCTCTTCGGCATCAAGATGGCGGGGATCTTGCTGATGTTGCTGCTGTGAGATCAGATGAAGCTGCAAAAAAGATGATGCACAATCACCTCCAAGTGATTGAAAGTGGTGTTTAATGTCTATTACTATCGGGATCGGCTCAATTTTGTTCGCATGAATTTCTATTTTGGCCATCTAATATTTGTTTGCACATATGAATCATCATCTGCTTTCGCGTCTTTTTCTTGCTCAGATGAAAAGGGCGCTACCAAAGAAGAGATCGCCTAATGCCAAAAGCCCAAATCGATCCTGGAAAATTTATGCGCGATATTTTCAAACCTGAAAGAACTTGAAACGTACCCGACTAATTGTGTATCATTCGATATATTCTTGATACATTAATGTTATTCAAGAAATAATGTGTTTTACTTCGATAACCTCATGTTTTTTTTTGTTAGGTATTTGAAAGCTTAATCTTAAGGTTCGCGTGTTGCAATCGGATTTTATCATTGTGCTAAGCCGTGTCATTGGAAAAACACTATATCTTTATTAACGATGCTATAAAACTTGAGTACGTTACGTTCGTGTCGCCTCCGTCAATAGGTGCTTCTCCGATGTGATATTAGCTTTGTCTATAAAGATATCTCTGTGGATTAAAACGGAAAGAAAGAGAATTAAATTTATGTCCGCTTGTTTCTCTAGTCGGACCATATCAAATCAAAAAACTTTTTCGTAGGAAGTAAAGCGAGATTCTACTTTCGGTTGTTTAACACGCATGACTTTGAAAATTTGGATACTCTGTCAGCCACGAAAATGGCATACCCAGGAACACCATAAACAAAAACCGAAACGTGTAAATGAAGAAGTTATTGATTTGCGCACCTGATTTGGAATTCATCGAACTTGATGTGGAACTGGCGACGGTTTCTGAACATGAATTCAAGTGCTTCTCCCCTATACCCTTTGCCGGAATACTAGCTTAATGAGATTGCTACCCACAAGAAGAAATTCCTCTCTAGATCCGTATGTGAGTTAGATTGGGCATCATCAGATTAAAAGAGGGACTTGAGTGCTATTTATAGAGTTTCGACTACGGGTTCTCTCATCACGGGTCGGGCCGTACTCGGCCCACACTAGCCAGCCCCATATTAAACTTATTAAGAACCTATATATCTTATCTTTATTAGACCAAACTAATACAGTTAATTTCAATTAATGAAGCTCGCATTATGAAATTTCTTACATACTTGACTTGCGAAAATTGACTTCCGGCAAGCCATCGGAGCTGGGGTGTGCAAAGAAATTGAGAACCGCCCAAAATCGGACTGGACTGGACCAGCATAAAATCAGTAGTTCCCGATTTCAATTTACCGAACCGATAATATATATAATTTTAAAGAAAAATTTCCAACAAAAAAAAGAAAACATTTTAAGAAAAATGAAAACCCTAAAATCTACAATCTGAAGCTCAGCGCCTAGTGTTCGTCTCGTTTCACTTTTACTTTGTCTGAGTTGTCTTTCTATTTCTCACTCATAATCTCACTGAATGCCCATCGACTCACAGTCTCATCTCTTAACTCTCATCAACTTAGCTGTTCATCACCTCCATTTGCGTGAAATTTGGTGAAACCGGTTCCATAGATCCACCTAGGAATCAGATCGGCAGTTCATGGAACCAATAGGCGGTTCCAATCTTTCGAACCGATCCTTAGTAGGTGGTTCCGATTCCATGGTGGGAATTGCCCATCTGGACCATGCTCACTCCTACGTCGGAGCCACTTAGCTTCGACCATCGACGAGTGTGGTTTTGTTTCTGGGCATGGGGATATCGAGGTTGATGCTTGGGATCCAGGGATGGGTTGGGCTTAGGGGTGCCCGGACTGGCCGAAACCATATCAGACCGGCCTTGAACAGACAGTTCTCATAGAGATCGGATCGATTTTCAGTTCCAATATTGGAACTGGTGAGTACCGATTCGGTTCTTCGTTTCAAGCATGAAACCGCTTATCGAGACCAGATTGATATATATATATATATATATATATATATATATATATATATATATATATATATATATCGCTGCTATGAAGTTATAATGCTTATCGGAAGATCCCGATACACTTCAGTTGGAGCAACACATTCATTTACTGAATTCATATTAATTTTTTCAAGTACACTTTTCATCTAAAAAGGCATGGATTCACGTTCACCTTTCTAGCTCTGGCTCTGGCATAATGCCTGTTGCACAATACCTCATCGTCGAACCTACTTTAGCCCTGTTGATGTTAACCTTCGCAAGAATCATTACATCCCTTAATTGTCGGGTGAATCTTGGCGAAGAACAAGCCGAGTAGTAGAATGAAATTATGGCACGGTCACTTACCATTTGTATTGCGGTCCAAATAAAACTGAGAAGTCTTGCATCAGTTCCAAATGAAACTCACAATTTATAGTGTTTCTTGGGAGAGGCTTGTAGTAATCTCTCACGGAAGACATTGATCCCGTTTGTGGCCATTGAAACTGAATAGAACATGCCCTTCTTGCGTTGGTGGACGAAGTCCAAGGTCATATTTATAGGGATTGTGGAATGGTTCCATGAATCCATCCGAGAACTGGACCGGAGCGGTTCCCAATTCCAATTTTTCAGAACCGATCCTTAGTGGGCGGCTTCTTATTCCAGGGTGGAAACAGCCCAACCGAACCTTGCTTACCCCTAGTTGTATTACTTGCATGGTAGCTGTGCCTCCACGGCACGGGAAACTCCAAGTTTTAACCATTGCGGACTTAAGCTCAACCATCCAGACTTGGGTCCGACCACAGGGGATTCGAGATCTGACTTACCCAAGGGCCGACGAAAAATCGAAATCTACTAAGACGTTTTTTTATCAATAATAAAATATTCATCAATTTTAGAATTGCGTTAAATTATTTTTCGGAATTTAAGCATATATAAATGAGGAATGCTTTGTCGATGAAATCATTTTTTATTTTACGAACCAAATAAATAAATACTGAAAACGAAATAATGATTGATAAGAAGATTCTACTGGCCTTTGGGGTCTTCAGGTTTTGCCATTGCCTCATTTCTACAATACATCGAGCGCTTCACTGAGGGCGCAAGGGAAGCGCTTTCGGAGCCTTCGTTTAGCTGCGCAGTACAAACGTTCTCCCCCTCCTTCTTCTTCTTTCTTCTCCTTCGCATTTTGCAGTTCCCTCTACACTGAGGGCAGAGTCGCCCCGGAGAAGAAGATGAGCGTGTGGAACTACGTGGTGACGGCGCACAAGCCCACCAACGTGACCCACTCCTGCGTCGGCAACTTCACCGGCCCTCAGGAGCTCAATCTCATCATTGCGTAACGCTTCTTTTCTCCCGCTTTTCTCTCTGCTCCCATCTTCCCGAGCATTGTGTTCCCAATTCGTTTGTTTTTTCTTCTTCTCTTTTGGTGGCGACTCGTGGGTCGTTGAAATTCTAGGTTTTGGTTTGAGAATAGTGGAGGCTTTCGTCCGTTTGTTGTCGGGCATCTTTCCTGGCTTGCTTCGTTTGGTTGACTGTATGTTCCGTCTGGCTATGCGGAAATCTATTTCCTTAGGTAAATGCAGTTTTTGGGATAGATGGGTTTTGCAGATTTTGGATAACAAAGGATAGACCACTCAAATTTCTACTTTGTTAGATTTGGGATTTAGTAGGATGCTGTTTTCGGGATTGGAGGCTGCTGTGTTGATTCTAAACTTGCTCAGACATGAGAAGTTTGTCTCGCTGTACCTGTTCAAGTCAGATTCTTTTTTTTGGGCATATTGAAGTCGGATTGCCAATCATGATCTTTCGCCGAAATCTTGTTTAGTAATTCTTAATGAATACGGCAGATGTACCGTTATGAGAGTTCATACTGCTTTGATTCAGAACTCTTGGTTATGTCATAATGTTAAAGAGTGCCTTTCAACGGAACATCCGGGATGAAAGCTAAGCTTTGACTGCATAGGAGTTCAACACAAACGAAAGAGTTAGCGTTGTCAAATTTTCTGAGATTGAATTTGATGCATGGATCAGCACGTTTTACCCCTACGCTATTGTGCCCTTGAAGATGCTATGTAGCATATTCATTTGCTCAGTAGCTCACAGATAGCTAAAAAGGCATATAATTGGTTGTCTGGGCTTGTCTTCTATAATTTACCTGGTTATGTCAAAACTTTATTTTATTTTCCTTTCTTCGCCTTTTTTCTCGTTGCGAGAAGGTGCATTTGAATCTCCCTCTAATGTGCACATTTTCATTTAGAGTTCAGACTTATCAATTGCCAATTGATAGATGTCATGCCATTTTGTTTGAATGGGCTCTTCGTCCCACCTACCATATTGAAGCTTTTTACCCTTTATGTCAGTATCGTTATCAAGTGAAGATGCATTGATATTTTCATGTTGTAGAACGTGAGTAATTTGTGTGGTGAAGATAATTTGGCAGATGATTGTTGATGGCGCTATTGCAGTTGATATTATTCTTAGATAAAAAAAGTCATTCTGTTAAATGATTTCACTTTTGTTTTTCTATTTCAGCAAATGCACTCGAATTGAAATACATTTGCTTACTCCTCAGGGTTTACAGGTATGATATTTCCTCTTTATGTTTATTTTTGCTGGACTGACCAGGATTTGTTTTGTTCTGTTTGTAGTCATTTCTTTAGTTGGTTATATGATACCGCGTTTTCCCCCAATTTTCTAGCTGTAGCCTTTAATTAATTCAAGTGATATGCATCTCAGCATGACATGACTCGGAGCCTTAGTTGAAGTTGTAATGAAAAACCTCCTTTGGCAGTGGAAAAGATGCTCAATAGTTTGGTTAATCTCCTATTAATAATATGTGGTCTCAAGTGACTTTGGTACGCTTGTCACCATTAACATGCCTTGAGGTTAAATTTTTTCTTTTTCTTTTCTCCTTCAAAAGACTATGATTTCTTCATTTCATTTCATATATTAAGTATGGATACTTTGAACCTTGATTTGCTGTGAGTGGTTTATATATATATATGTCTTTTTCTTTGCCTCAGATTCGTTAGTACACTAAAATAATTTCTCCTTAAAGTTTGGTTTGACTTATCTTGGAACTAAACTCTTTCTTCGGTTCTGTTTTTTTTCCCGGCTTTCACAGGCTATGCTGGATGTGCCAATTTATGGGAGAATTGCAACGCTTGAGCTTTTTAGGCCTCACGTGAGCCATCAATGTGATCGTGTTTTTGTGGTTTCTTTTCTAAGTGATCATATTCTGGTTTTGGTTCTTGTTTTTTTGGTCCAAGTCCTTGTCCCTTTCTTGTATCAGGGTGAGGCACAGGATTTTTTATTCATTGCCACTGAAAGATACAAGTTCTGCGTTCTTCAATGGGATGCTGAGACGTCTGAGCTTGTTACGAGGTTGGTATGGTTATTTGTATAATCATTGTTGTTTGA